AAAAAAAAAAAAAAAAAACGAAGCACAATGTCACTGCCGAGTTCGACAGCTGAGCATCAACCCCCGCCGCAGGCCACCGTCGGACGGCACCTCACTACGGCGCTAGATGCCATAGAGATAGAGAGGGAGGCCCTCATGAAGAGGCAGACAAAACTCCTGGCCAAGTACCAAGAGTTTGTGGCATTCTTTGTGCAGAGCAGCTCCGTCTGCATAACGATGATGGCCGGCGGTCTTTTTATCGGCTACTATCTGCACAACAAGGTTGACGGCTATATCATAACATCTCTAGTCTCGCTGACATATGTTTTGCTCTTGCTTATGGTTATTTTAGCAACAAAAAGGCTCGTTACCCACATGGAGTGGAGAGCTTACAAAGTCGAGGAGGACACGAAGAATTTGCGAGTAAGCGCGAATAGGTGCTACGCGTTCGTAACAGGCTGCCCGGACCCGAGCCCCGACGCAGACGCTCGGGGCCCCGCCGCGGATGCTACAGCCCAGGCCGCTGCCATTGAGAGGACTAGGGCCGCCGCTGCTGGGGATGCAGCCGCCGTCGCCCTTGAGACTGCGGAGGGCCCCGGGACAGAGGCTATATCTCATGCCAAAGAAAGAGCCAAGAAACTGAAGGCTTCTCTCAATTGGTCCACCAGATTCGCTTGGGACCTGTTCGGGGGTGTTGTGGCTTCGTGGTTGCTCTTTGCCATAACGCTCGGTTGCTGGATCAATTTCACGGTCCAGAGCAACATGTCGAGTGAGGGAATTGCTGTCGAGTGAGGGAATTGCTGTCTGTACGTACGTAAGTCTTCTCTTGGAAATTTTCTAGAATTTGATATTGTCCCGAATTTGTTGACTCGGTTTTTACGAAGAATTTGTTTTGTCTTGGTCGTGTGAGAGGATGGGGCTTTCTGTTTTGGTTAAGCAGCTTTTGTTTTCTTCGTCGCCGAGTACATTGCTGTTAAGTCTTTGGTTTGCCTGTTTAAACCAACTGTTTCTTTTTATTATTAAGTTTTTGATTTAATTTCTAGTGGGTTTCGGCTTGAGAGGCTCCTGAAAAATGGCTGTTTTGTACTACTTCCGGTTACAGATGTTATATTAAGTTTATGGCAATCTCCTTGAAAGTCTATTCAGATGAATGAATCATGGTATAAAATATTAATAGACATGAATAGTACATATACCATAACAACACCGCGTAAAGGGTAAAACTAGGCGATTTTCACCGATCTCACGAGCATTTCCTTGTCCACCTCATCACGTTCGCCTATTTCGTCCCGACCTCACGAACCAAAATCCGCCCTCCAAAGACGAGCCCAACGCCTCCCAAACAGTACTCCTTAATCCTAAAGCAGCGCCATTTACTTGAGTACATCCATAGTCCGACCCAAATGGACCCCACAGCCTATCCCTCGTTCGCCGATCTCTTTCCTCGCGAGCTTCATGTGCTTTCTGTGGGATACTATCAGCAGCATTGCATTCATCAGCAGCCCGAATATCGATTACATGGAGGCTCGGGAAGTCGAGAGGTTCAAGAGCCTCACGGGTTTGGATGGTTTTGGCTTCGATACGGATAAGTATGATGCTTCATATGTTCGAGGATTTGTATGATGTGACTTCTGACTCGGTGGGTTCCGAGGATTGCTCGGCATTTGGCGCCCGAGTGTGGGTTGATATTTGTCCCCGACCCTCAGCAGTTCCATGGGACCTTTTCAAGCGATTCTCGACGGAATCGCTTTAAAAGAAACGAGCACACGTGCTGGTTGTGGACCCCATCTTCTCTGTCAATGAAAAACAAAAAAAAAAAGAAAAACAAAGCTTGTCTTGTGCAATGCCGGCACACCCAACTCAGTGAAAAGTTGTGTATTTTGTTTATAATCTGCAGAATGTAATAGTTTCTTTGAGTCAATGGATCAAATAAGCTAGTTACAAATCTAATTTGAAATATGAAGATTATTTTTTAAATATGAAGCTGGTTACAAATTCAATTTAAAATATGATGATAAATTTGAAATATGAACATAATGAATTAAATATATGGTAGTGCTGCTGTTGTATTTGATATGTAGAGCACGACTAACTCCTATCTAGACGCTAGGCCTCAACTGGTCATCAAACGAGCGCTTTAGTATCTTTTAAAACGCTAGCTCTTACCAATTGCCGTAAAAGGAAGGTTACAACCCCCTATTCCAGTGGTCAGATATCTACCGGAAGCTACGGTCTTCGAGCTCATTGACAGAGGAGGGCGGTGGCGACATAGAAGGATGCTGGTAGAGGCTGGATTGGCGAGCGACTGGCGGCGGGCAACAGGCCACAAGTGGCTGAGTGGTGTTACCAGTTGAGTAGAGTGCACCTGTGTGTGTTTGTGTGTTTGCATGTGTGTGAGAGAGTGTGGGGTGTGGGTGGGCTGGGTGGGGTCCACTGGTGGGGTGTGTATGTGCTAGCATGAGTTGAATAGGTCTGGTAGAAGGTTATGGGACCCACTTCTTAGTAGATCTGGTGGGTCTACCAATAGATAAATTAAAATTTCCGAAATACCCTAAATGAAGATATAATTTGAGAGTTTATTTATTTATTTTTTTCAGTGGTGGATTGTCCAATCTCATAGCCAAAATTTAATTTTATTTCTTTCACTGATCTCTATTCTCACCTTTGTTTTACATTCGAACTCCCATCGAACTATTTAAGAATAAGGCTTTCTCTACCTTAAAGCCTTGTTTGCTAGGAGATTGAGTAGGATTAAGGCATTTAACACCCATCAATCCCTTAACTGCACCTGCGATGCGATGCGATACTGGCACAGGATACAGGATAAAGTTGACGCTCGGGATCATATCCTACAAATCTTTGATAACTTATGGGTATAGGTGAGATTAAACTTGTCCATATGTGAAAGGTCATATCGTTGAAGGTTCACAAATATGCACCAATACAACAACAATCTATAGTTGTACAAAATATAAAGAAACAATAATAGCATCTAAGGTCTCCAATGATACCCTTTAGGACTGCCACACCTGTAAGTACACATGTATTCATAGTCTCCTCTTAATCCAATACCATCTTTAGTTCCTCGACTTGTTTTCAAAATTTGTGAAAACCAAAGCCGCATTTGAATAAATCATCAAAGCCCCAAGTTCGAGAGAAGTTTGCGCCATCTAGGCGTTTCCTCGTCAAAAATGTAGGTCAAAGGGGAAACCAGAACCCCACTACCTCCAATCTGCACAACAAACATATGCAAAATGAACTGGAGAAAAAAAATAAATAAACAGATAAATTTTCCATTCACACTTATAGGAAATATATAAAGAGAAACAGAAACTGGGAGGAGTTGACCTAAGACAGGACCTCTGTTGATAAACAAATGTACAATCTCAATGCAAACAAGAAAATCCACAAAAGACAGTTCCAACCGAAACCACTTTTATGAAATCCCATAATGAACCATAGAGAAAACCATCTTATATGTGAATTCCTGTATGCACGTTCAGTACAATGTAACGAAAAATCACTCACCGTCCTAAGCTGCTGAACAGACTTGTAAAGAGCTTTCTTCGGTACACAAATAACTATAGCATAGTAGTCAGCAGCTACTCCCCCGTCACGCTTGCAGAAAACGGGGCTTACAGTGGGCCCCTGCATACGCAAACATGACACAAAAAGCATTTGATATTAGATGAACAAATAGTTTGAAATAGGAAGAGTTGTTAAATCACAATTTTAAACAAACCAGAGATCAGAAATATGCACAAAGGACAAGTTGAAGACCTGCAAACCGGATAGAGACGGCTGGCTAAGCACACGCTGAGCCACTTCATCTGCACTACTCCCTCTCATGTTCGCCGTTACCTGAAAATAAAAAACAGTGGAAGACATAATTTACTAGAAAACGGCAGTCAAACTATAGAAGCTACCATGAAATTGTCCTAATCATAAAAAGCAGTTTTACCTTTTAAAATTACAGATACCACCATGCATTTGTTTTTCTTAACAACCTCCCGACAGGGCATTCGTAGGGTAAATACAATACCTCAAGTGGATGTTTTATCGCTTTAACTTGGTATTTGTGATTTTGTAAAGATATTGGAGCTTTTTCTGGTTATGTTAAACTTTGGGGGTATCTTTTGTAATTATCCAAAGAATTAGTGGTCCGCACCGTGAACTGACCAGCAGCCCTCAAATGCGCCTCAAACCTCTCAAGCATTTCATGGGTGATATCAAGGACACCTTTTCTCTGGATCAGTGACCTTCTGCTAGCAACAAGAACAGCCTGAAATGAACAATGCAATGCGATCAAAAGATACTGAATTATCAAAATCATTTTTCAAAGGATATCTTGTTTTTCAAAAAGATAGATTCAGATGAAATCAAAAATACATTTTTTTATGTTTTAGATAATATTAAAACTCAATAACAGAAATGCAGCATTTACCTGACTTTCCAAGATAACTCCGCCTTTAATTTCTTTCAAGTTATTTTCTCTCAATGTTGTTCCACTACTTACAAGGTCCACAATAGCATCAGCTATCCCCATCTAGAGGTAAAAGAGGATTAGAGGAAACAGAGTTTTTTAGGTTACAAATATTTGTAACAAGGGGTCATCTCTAGGTGTACAGATATCATGACAGCCCACACGATAGAAACTAGTAAGTTACAATATAAGTTTCAGTAATGTTACAGTTAAGAAAACTATGAAACCTAGCATTCAAGTAGAAACACACTCAATTAGCAAACTTCAATAACAGTATTTGAAGATAACATCCAAGATGGAGTGCTGGAGACGAGATCGCGATGACATTTATGAACAAATATGATCGTTTACCATCCTTAGTTTGATTATTATTTTCCTATCTATTTTATTATTATGCTTTATTTCCTTTTCCTAGTTAATAGATGAATAATTTGTTTCCTTTTGAATTTTTATTTATTTAGGAAATTAGGGATTTAGCTTTGATAGGTCTCTATATATTGTCTTTTCTTCTTCAATGAAGAAGAAGAGCAGACGTTTATGAAATAAAATATCAAATTGAGTTTTCTCATCTTGTTCCCTTTTCGTTTATCGATGCGCTACATCAGTTGGTACTCAGAGTTAGCTACGATCCGAGATGCCGCCCAAGAGGAACGACCCCGCCGACGACCGAAGAGACGCGGCGATCGAGGCCCTAACCCTACAGAACGAGTCGATGGGCCGAGAAATGGCGGACCTGGCGGCGGGCGTGGCGGATATTCGCGAGGCTCTGCAATTGTTGATGCGACGTGAACAGACGAACCGTGACGGGCCCGAGCATCGGGAAGGCGGTCACGGTGGGCAGCGTGGTGGCCGGGGAGGTCGCGGTCGCGCGTGATTGGGTGGCGGCCGACGTGCGCCGTACGTGGAGGAGAGCGCGACTCGGACGCTACGGAGGAGGAGGTTAACCCATTTGCGCGAGATGGACCACGGGGAGACGACGACCTGCGCGGCGAAAGGCGTTGGGAGAGTGCGTTTCGTGTGGATATCCCGGAGTTCTCGGGTGGGCTCGACGCCGCTGAATTTCTGGATTGGCTGACTTCGGTGGAGTCGGTTTTGGAGTACAAAGAAGTGCCCGACGAACATCGCGTGGGGTTGGTCGGCACGCGATTGCGCGGGAGGGCCGTCGCTTGGTGGCAACATCTTAAGAACGAACGACGTCTGTTGGGTAAACCTAAAATCTCCACGTGGGCCAAGTTCCGGAAACATATCGAGCGGGAGTTTCTTCCGTTCAACTACGTCAGCACTACGTATCAACAACTCCATAATCTTCAACAAGGCACTCGCTCCGTGGACGAGTATACAGAGGAGTTCTATCGCCTTCTTACGCGTGTCAAGCTCCGTGAGACGACGGCTCAAAAGGTGTCCCGTTATGTCGGCGGATTGCGTCTAGCCATTCGCGACATGTTGAACATGTTTACCCCGGAAACTGTCTCTGCCGCTCATCAACGGGCGTTACTTATTGAACAGCAGCAGTCGCGTCGTCCCTTGCCGGCTACGGGATTTCAACCGCGTGTTGGAGGGGCTCCGTCGTCGTCGCCCGGGCTGAACCGGTCACCATTAACGGGCGGTCGAAGCAGCGCCGTGG